ACTGCTGGAGGCACCGGGAATGCAGACCAAGTCTGTCCACCCAGTGTGTACATTCTAATGGGGAAGAAACAAGTAAACGATGAATTAATGAGATCATTTCAGAGACCAAGACGTGCTCTGCAAACTCTACATGAGTGGGAGGGGTTACTTTAGAGAGAAGGGTCTAGAAAGGTGTGACCTGGGGCCTGAAAGATAACAAGGGACAATCTTAGGGGAAGCATTCCCACGTGGAAAGGTCAGGTGCCAAGGGCTTCGGGTGGGAACAAGGCTGGTGTGCAGAGAGGTGAGAGGAAGCACACGGTGCGAGCTGAGGTTCTGACGGGTGTGGACATGGCAGAGTTTGGAACTTGATTTTACTTGTAGTGAAGCCCTCTTTGGATAGTTTCATGCAGAGGAAGGATATGATCTAATTTTTATTTAAAACAAACAAACAAAAATCGTACACTAGTGTTTCCCAGATATGAGAAAGCACAGGGCTTTTTGTCCCCCTTGTGCATATTTTTTTCTTGAAAATCCACTAATTCTTTTAACCAAACTGTTTCATTCATCTCCCTCCCTCTTCTGCGCTTGCTTCTACTACAACACATTGTCAAGAATTTGAGCTTTGGAATCAAGCAAACGTGGGTTCAAATCCTGACTCCACCAGTCACAAACAGGATGATGTTAGCAAAGTAACTTTACTCTCAAAGCCTCAGTTTCCCCACCTGTAAAATAGGAATGATGGTCATACCTATCCTGTAGATTTGCTGTAATACGTAAATAAAATATTTCTTGTTATGTATGACATTTATTATAATGCCTTGCACCTGGAAAACATTCAGTGAATGTTAGCTATTATGTTTACAGTTGTACCAAGTAAAAATTTTAGCTTTGTCACATAAAAAAAAAAAAGACAGTTCTTCCTCAGAAGTTCTGAATAGTGTAATACAAACCTTGTGTGTGTGTGTGTGTGTGCGTGCGCGCGTGTGTGTGTGTGTTTTAAATATGCAGTAGAATTCTGACAATGAAGTTTGTCTTGACTAAGAATACTTGGTACTTGGAAAAAACATTCTTGAAACTTCTCAGGCGCAGGTTCTTAGATTTTTGAAGATAAATTAATTTACATCATTACTATTTTAAAAAGTCTTTCCAGAGCACCCAAGTTCACAGGTTAAACCATTGGAATAATTCCTTTCCTTATGACTTATATTTTGGAAATTAAATAGTAATTATAGTAACAATATATAAATATAACAAAAATAACTAATATTTTAAAAAACCCATCACATGCTAGCCTATGTGAAATGTCTCGTAGGAACTATTTCATTTAATCCTCACAGTTACCCTTTGAAGAAGGCACTTTTTTTTGTCTGTTTTATGAGAAAATTGAGGCATGGAGATATAAAGGAACTTGTCCAGGTCACATATTTAATATTTTAGAGTTAAAACCCAGGTCCCTTTGATCCATAATCTAAGCTCTTAACAATGACACCAAGAGGCCACTGGAAGTAAGTTTTCCATCATGTCTAGATAAAACGACTTTCTTAAAACATGCACACACACACACTACAAAACTATCTTTTCTACACTAAGGAGATCAAAACTTTCAACTCTCCTGAATATTTGAGAGCTGCCATTTGCATTCTTGATTTCTTTTTATCTTCCTTAAACTCATACATTTTTCTTTATGAAGAGTGAAATCTCTTTGTCATCTGTTTGTCTGCTTTGTAAGAAAACTTTTTATTGAAACCAGATTCCAGATGGACTTCTCCCAAGATTTTTCATAGAAACGGAAAGCTTAGTTCTGATAATCTAAGGAAGGAACTTCTTACTTTTTCTATAATAATGTGAGGAAGGCATGTGAATCATGCCTGTCTTTGCAAGAGTAGAAAACCTGTAACTCCAATAGGTTTTCTTCCTGCTCGTTCATAGAGATTGGATTTGTGTGTGTGTGTGTATAAGTTACTGTTTCATGACATATTTTATTTGTTTTGTAATGTTTATCTAAGATCTCAAGTGACTGTAATATCTTTTCCCAAGTGGATTTTTTTTTCCTTCACTTTTACTGAGGAAATGTTTTTTGTTTCTGTGGAAAGTGAGCTTCTAAGAACTCACTTTCTCTCATTTCATTTTCTTTCCCCTCCTTCCTCCCATATTAAATGTCTCCCAAACATATCTGAAAGGCCTGGAGACAACTTTCCAAGGAGAAGATTGATTGCTCTTAATTAAGAAGTGAAATAAATCCTGACCAATTCCCTGAAGTTCTCTCCAAGTCACTACATATGGGTTATGTGAAAAAAAGAAAAGAAAAAGAAAACGATTTGCTGGCTAGGTAATAGTAAGCCAGCTTCAGGGGTAGCTGCATCCAGGTGTCCAAATGTGATCACTGGACATGTGCCCCACAGATCTCTTGGCTCTGCTTTCCTCTGTGTTGGTTCTCAGGCAAGCACTCCCAAACGTACTACCCAAGGCCACCACCTCCAGGTGTGCCCCCTACAGGTTTGCCAGCCCAAGCACAAAGATTGTAACTCTACTCACAGGTCAGCAAAAGTCATTGGATTTATTTTTCAGTCTAGCTTAGGGCATGTGTCTACCTAGGAGGTGAGCATTTTAGCAAGAGACATAGAAGCTCCAGGCAATGGACTTGGAGGTACACTCACCCAAGTTTGGGTGCTTCACTGTTATGGGCTGTCCTATCTAAGAAGTTCTCATTCTTCCAAGTTATCAAAAACACCTTACCCATTCTCTGACATCAAGAGCTTTGGTTTGCATCTGCTGTAACTCTAAATGCACTGAAGTCTAGTCTGTATACCTGACTGTAAGGAATAGATCATTTATTAAAGCAATAGATTGGCACTTTTAAAAGTCTGTCCATGGAAAGGTTTTTTTTTTTTTCCCCGAAGACTTTTCTCTGAGTGTAACACTTTTACTCACCATTAGCTCCTTTGGTTCCCAGCCAGAGAGTAAGCAAGAGAGGCAAAAGGCTAAAAGAGACCAGTTGATGTTCTTGGCATTTTGAAAAGCCCTTCCTTGTTTTGAATCTTAGTCGCTCCCTTTTTTGTCAACTGTTTCCTCTTCCCCTGGCATGGAGAGTCCCCACCATTCATTTATATTCTCGCTGACACTTCAACTGCCTGACTTGCTCACTTGGCATCCTGACGCATCCATCCATCACTCCCTTATTCCCATACTCTCCCTTCCCTTCCCTTCCCTTCGAAGTGTGATATTTACCACAGTTATGAATTCCAGGACCACAGAGAAAATGGCTAGGAAGAGCTGGAAGATAAAACCAGTGTTCATACAGGGTGATCTCCTTAAGGTCTGAGTTTATGAGGAAGCTCAGGGCTTGTCACTGGACTTCTGTACCATTTCTGCTCTGCTCCTTGGTGCTTAATGAGGAGCCCGCCATTCTGCACAAGAATCCAATGCTCTGTCCCTCTGCCTCTCTCTCTCTTTCCTTTTTTGTTTGTTCTTGACTCTAGACACTGTGAGACACCAGAGTCTGGCAAAGATAACCGCTGATGGGGGTGTGTGTGTCTTTCTCACTTCATCTGGGCAATACGAGAAGACCTAAAGAAACCTCTGTTCTCTTCTTTCTCTTTCTGCAAATAGATACTAAGAAGCGGTTGACTACAAACTACAGCATCACAGTATCTGTCGGTTATTAAGCACCTGCTGTGGAAATGTCAGGGCTCCTGATCCTTTGCATGCGTTTTCACCACCCTGCAAGGGAGCTTCAATTATTCCTATTTTACGTCTGAGGACATGTAAAGATTTTTCGTGACTTGTCCAGGGTCACACAGCTTATCAGTAGAGAATCTTGAGCTTTAACTGTGATTTCAAATTTTGTGGTATATTTTCCCTATCGCACTGCTTTATAAAAGGGACAGAGAAAAGGAGGCAGTTCAATTACCTCCATGCAGAGTCCAAAACACAAACGGGGGGATTCTGGACACAGCGCCCCTCCCTGGAGGAGGGAGAGCCTGCTTTCCCACGCACAATCTTGCACAGCTGACCCTACCCCTCTGCCTTCCCGCAGCCCAAGATCTAATCTGCCTTCCCGTGTAGACATCTGCTATTCCAGCCTTCAAAATGGAAACTTTCTGGTATTCCTTTTTGAAATCTTCCAGTGTTCTCAACAGCCTATGTAACATAGGTCTACGGTAAGACAGAGCATGAACTTTGGAGTCAGATTTCTGCCCATAACTAGACTTTGTTTGCTGGGCAGCCATGGGAAGGTATATCAAGCTCTCTGGCTGTCCGTTTTCTCACTCACGAATCATGATAATAACTAACGTTCATGACATTTAATGAGCCCTTACTATAGTCTAGGCCTTGAGAATATTTAAGAATATTAAGTCATGGAATCTTCATAACAAAATTATGGAATAGGTTCTGTTTGCTTCATTTTACCAGAAAATTGAGGCACAGCAAAGTTAAGTAACTCAGATTCAAAAAGATCATCTTGCTCAGTGGTTCTCAAGAGTCAGTGAGCTTTGCCCCCAGGAGACATCTGGCGACATCCAGACACATTTCTGGTTGTCACACTAGGGGGTGCTACTGGCATCTGGCGGGTAGAGGCCAAGGGTGCAGCTGAAGGGCCCACGACGCACAGGAATGAACCGGCCCCGCATGTCAGTAACCCCGAGGCTGCAAAACCTTATTCTCCTAACCCCGCAACTGCAGCCCTGCCCCCCAGCTTTCATCACAATAATTTGCTTCTCGCAGGATGGCGGTGGAGATAGAAGAAGATGGTGACTGTGTCCCTAGGTCTAGCACAGCACCTGCTGTGTGCTTTCCAGTAACTCGGCTTTCCTCCTCACTGACCTCCCTTCTCTCTTCCGAGAACAGGGCCAGCAGCCTCTCGGTGTCTGACTTCTGCTCTGCAGAGGCCCGGGACCCGAGGACCACAGAACCGCAGTCGGCACCACCGCCTCTGTGCATGAGACGTGCGGAGTCCATCAGCCATGCTTGAATTTCCCCGCTGGTTGAATGACCGCTGTTTGTGTCTGTGCTTACAGTCGATTCGGGAACAAGTGTCCGGGAGGATAATGCGGCCACTGCTTCCCCCACCACAATGGAGATAAGCGCTGTTGCGGATGCCAGCGGAAAGAATCTTGGGAAGGAGGCCAAACCCGAGGCACCAGCTGCTAGATCTCGTTTTTTCTTGACACTCTCTCGGCCTGTACCAGGACGTGCCGGAGACCAAGCCACGGATTCATCCACTGGGTCAGTGAAGCTTGATGTCAGCTCCAATCAAGCCCCGAGGAACAAAGACCCGAGTGAGCCCGGGGCGCTTCCGCGCGCAGCTGCACCGGGGCGCGACCCAGATAAAACCCCCCGGGCCGACCCCGGCCGCTCAGCTCGGCCTCTCTGCCACCTGGGGACCTGAGTCAGGGGGAGCAGCCCCCTACCAAGCCGAAGGACCCCAGCTTCTTTGACAAACTCTTCAAACTGGACAAGGAACGGGAACAGACGCCAGTCGACAGCCAGCAGGAAGCCAAGTGCGCGCAGCATCAGGACCAGGCGCGCGAAACTCCTGGATCATCGACGCAGTCGAGCAATGTCCCTGCAGAGGGGGTAAGTGCTGAAAAGGACGGTCCATTTTGCTCTTAACGCCAGCTCAGGGGGCCTCGTGGGGGAACACTGTTGCACACGTGTGGCTCTCTAGTCACCAGGGGGTCCCTGCAGGGTCTCAAGCCGTGGATCCCTCTAGAACAAACAGCACATTGTAGCGCGGTGCCTGCCCATGTTTCCGTGGGCAGAAACATCTGCTGGTGGAACAGTAACAGCTGTGGCATCTGTTTAGTGTAAAAGAAGAGAGGAGGGGAGTTACACACAGATGAATTCATCCTTCCATTCATCAAAGGCAGAGGTGGACAGTTTGCGTGTATGATCAATGGAGTCTGGAGGGAAAGGCATTAGTAAAAACTGTTCCTCAGAGACTTCAACACCTGTCCCCGTCTCAGTAGCCTGCTTCCCGGATAGGATGTTTATAGGCTTGTATTGGAATGCATTTCATTTCTTACTTTTAATAGCTTGGATTGATCTTCAACTGTCTTTTTCACTCAAGTGTGCGTTGAAATCAAGAGCTTTTACGGCTCTGGGAAAAAGACTTTTTTTGTGTACTAATTATTTTCCAACAAGCTGGAGTAATCCTTTGTAAAAACTGGATTTTCTTTTTTTTTAAGGAGGCATCTGAACTGGTTGCTTTCTTTCCTGAACAAAGAAAGGCAAGTTCTTTTGATCTTAAAAAGAGCATTTGCTTTTAACCTTGGGAGTTTGTTTGTGTTTGGGGGCGGGGGGAAAGAACTCCTTAAATGAAGAAGGGAATACAAGTAGATACATTGTACTTTATGGCACTTCTTTCTTTAGTTGATGGTCTTTTAAACAACAGTATTTTTCAGAACTTGGGAATAAAAGTGCCTCTAGTTGAGGTTAGACCCAGGGAAAAGTTAGATGGTCTGTTTTTTATTACATGGTGGTGTATCGTGGGTGTCCATATATTTGTCTTAATGACAACTAGCTTCCCTGCCAGGTTGCTAATAATAACACTGGCTGTCATTTATTTTGCATTTACAATGTGCCAGGCTGTGTACTAAGCACTGTCCACATACTATTTTCCTTCAGGAAAATGACTGTCACATTAATCTGTGGTTTAATTTTTTGCCTTTAACGGAAGCAGTGTGGATTGAACCCAGGGTCTCCGGCGTCCCAAGCACATGCTGTACCACTGAGCCACCACCAATCTATGGTTTTAATGCATCCAGGGTGGTATCAAGAATTATACTGTAAATATTAGACACCAGCTGAATAGTCTGGACAGTTAGAATTGGGGAAAAGATAAGGCTGATGTGTTTAGGCTCATGCCATCAGCATCCTTGTTGTTACTGTAAACTTTTACTCCAAGAACTGATTTTTAAATTTTCTTTCAAAAGTTAAAAAAAAGAAAAAATGCCCTTTCAATGCCCCCTTCTCCAAAGGCACCAGTCAGTTCAGGAGCCAACTGAATAGCTTTCTGTATAATTCAAAGTGAGTCTTCAAATGTATGCAGGCATCAAATCTTCACTGAGTGTGGCACTGCCCTGCACCAGTGAGGCAAGGCCACCATGGTGGACAGGACAGGGTCCCTATCCTCAGGGAGTCTGTGGTCTAGCCAGAGAAGAGATACCAAAAATTCACAGTTATGGTGCAAGGGCTCTGCTGGGGAGGATGAGGAGAAAGAGCCTCGCTGGCCCAGGGAACCTTCCATCAAATGTATAAACCTGGAGCCCGGAAGGTCCGTATCTTGGGGACAACAAACTGATCCTCAACACTCATGAGTATCTGAGAAACGCTTTACCACTTCACTTTGCGTGGGGACACTCTTGTTGCATCCTCATTATTGGTCACGGGCTCCTGAAGTCATCTGAAGGTTCTGAGTTTTTGAATGTCACATGTTTCCCTGATATAATATCTTTGGAATTTGAAATATGGATGCCAACTTTGCACTCTATGCTTATAAAAAGTGGGAAAGTTATGAAATAGCCACTCATTTCTCCTTCCGTCTGTGAACTTGTGGATATTCAAATACATGTATCTGCAAAGATTTTTAAAAACAACAACAACAAAATAGCCTTCTGTTTGTTAAGATTTCTGATCTGATCCCTGGCTGTACAGTCTGTATTTGTGGGGGGGCGGAAATCAGTCATTCTGGAAGTGTAATGAGAGAACCCAGCCCTCAGAAAGTAACAGGAATGAAACTTCTCAATCAATGGCTTTCTTGGTCGGAGCGCTGCATTGTGCATGCGTGGCCGTCAATGTATTGATTCAGAATCCTTAGGGTAAAATGATGCCCTGGGCTCAGCCATGTCGGCTGTCCCTGCCCTCCCACCCACGCACGCAAACCCTTCCCCCCGGTTCCCCTGCGTGTTCCTTGCTGGATTGGAATTCCAACCACAAACCCACAGAGCTGTGAACTGGGAGAAGGATGCCACCATTGCATTCTGGGGGAAACACACAAATCTTCTGTGTCTTTAGAACGACAATCTTATTTTTGTGCCTCATAAAACAACATTCAGAACATAGGCATAATTAAAACAAGGCCAGAATTCATGAACAAGTAAAGCATTTACTGCATGGGCCAAAGAAAAGATAAATTATATGCCTGAAAGGTTTCACTGAGCTGTGATTCACTCAAAGCAACGTGCTGGCGGGGGTGTGGGTGTCTCTTTCATTTTTCTCTGCCCTTCAACAACAGCACCAGAACTGTAAGATATGCATTTAAGAGATTCATTCGCCCCCACCCCCGCAAATTGATCACAGAAGGAAAATTGGAGCTTTATTGGTTTGAAAAAACCACACGAAATTTCTGTCGTCACTGATAATTCCAGAAGCGTCTTTGTGTTAGGGGCAGGGGAAGGGGCTTCAAGTGTTGCCAGGCATGGATTCAGGAGATTTAAACAAGAATATTTGTTTTCTTTAAAAGTTTAATTAAATTCTGCAATTGTTATTTAAATAACTTTGTGCAGGGCATTTAAAGACTAAATGGTCCTAGTTCTTCAAAGATCATATGATCTAGTAAGAGACACATGTTTTAGGGAGGTTGTGGTAAGTGCATTAATCCTCAAATTCATTCAGGCTCCAGATATTAAGAGAAACGGTGATTTTCTTCCTTTCCTTCTCTCTCTCGAACACACTTCATCCAGGCTTTTGTCTTCTATACAAACTGCTCTTGTCAAAGTTGCCACGATGTTGCACCTTCCTGCCACCCTTCACCTCAGCTGCCAAACTGGATACGTTTCCACCTTTATGCGGCTTGCCAGTCACAGCTGACGCAGCCCTGCACGTCTTCCTTCTTGAAACATCGTCCTCACTTGTTTTCCGGGTGCTCCCCACTTCCTGGCTGCTCTTCCTCAATCTCTTCTGCTGAGTCTTATCCTCTAGACGTTGGTCTCCCCCAGAGTCCAGTTCTTGGATGTCTTCTTTAACTACACTGACTCCCTTGGCGCTCTCCCAGCCCCAGGGGTTTACATAGAGCTCTCTACTGACGAGTCCCAACGTGGCGTCTCTAGCCCAGATCTACCCCTGAAGCCCAGACTTCAGGATCTAGCTGCCGCTTCTCCACGTCTGCTTGGATCTCCACATCTCCATGTGAGTGTTCCCTGAGCGGCTCAACTGCGATATGTCCACTATCAAACTCTTCATTCACGTCCAGTGACTTGTTTAATCCACAGGCTTTTCTCGTCTTGGTTCAGGGCAACTCTGTCCTACCACTGCTCTTTAGTGGTAGAATTGCAATCAAAGACCCAAGGTCTCAAGAGTCCTTTTCTACGTGGTATAAAGTAGTGAATTAAAATGTAAACCTGGCAGTCAGGTCGCCGAGGTTTCAACTCTGCCTCTGTCACCTACTGGCTGTGTGACCTTGGGCAAGTTACTTAACCTCTCTGAGTCTCCGTTTCTTTGTCCTTAAAATGGAGACGATAATAGTATCGAGCACATTTTCACATTTATTTACACTTATGAAAGTTAAGTGAGATAAGTCATGTAAAGTAATTAACACAGAGATACTGCATCTTGAGAAAAATAAGATGTAACAATTATCAGCAGAATGGCTTTCTCCCTATTACTCCACATTTTATTCTTTTTACCCTATTCTATAACCCTCAACTAGAACTTGCAGAGACAGCACAATAGAATCTAATTTGAATACTGTGTAACCAAAGGCATTAAGTCCTAATCTGGGTTTAAGAAAAAAAGTGCAGGAGTTGTGAAATTGTTTTAGAAACAATATAAATTAAAATGCCCGTGCCCACAAGCCCCAGTTTCTTAGTCTGACATTCAAGGATCTCTACAAACTTTCTGATATCTGTGTTTCTAACTGTGTTTTCCCCTATTCCTTTAAATTTGCCCAGTCAGAAGGGCCAACATATGACCTGTTTAGATGCTGTCTGCTTCAAAGTATTTTCTCTGCCTGTAGCTCTTTCTCTCTCTGTTGCTCAAAAATTTACTTCACATTCAAGTGCCAAGTTCCCCGTGAAACTGACCAGATGTCCCCTCTCCTGAGGGGTTTCTCATGACATAAATCCCTGCAGTATTTTATTTTTTGTATCCTATCCTATATGTTAAATGAAATTCTGTGATAAAACCACTTTGAAGGAATCATCTCATGGAAACATCAGAGCTTAGAAGGGCATTTTTATATCTTTGCCATTTTACAGATGAAAACGTCAAAGCTTTAAAGAAACTAAGTCACTCATTCCAGATTACACAGCTTAGAAAGAATTGTCCGTCTCCAACGCCCATGCTTTCCATGCTTAATATTATGTTTTTAGCAATTATTTGAAACTGCAGTGAGGTTGCAACGATGCCAAATTGAGTAATGTTAATGTGAAGAAGTGCTATGCACAAATAGTATGTGCAAAACTGGGAATATCAAGTGAATCTCAAATCAAAAGGGAAAAAAAGAAAAGAATCACTTCATTCCAACATTAGAAAGTCAAGCGAATTATAAGCCATGGTTTTTTAAAATTTCATTTTGTTTACTTCCAGCCGCAGGCCATGATATTTCAACAGGTAAATAGAACCGCCCACCCAAAGAC